ATTGGGTACTAAGTCTAATACAGTACTGTAATTTTATACATTTTTTGTGAAAGAAACATTTCTTATTCAACGGCCATAAAAATTATTTATATTAATGATGTCTCCAAAGTTCAACGAATTTTTCGCAGAAAAAGAACTTATCAGAAATCGCGGCCGCCGTTTGGTGCACTGCTCCGCGACGAAAACAAGCTTAAGCAATGGCGACGTCGAACGGTGCACACTCGGTAAGTAATCCTACAATTTTTTGTTTATAGCATAGTTTATACGGATTATTCCCAAAAAAATATACGTGTTTTGGAAATGTTGAGTGAAATTAGTCTTGAATCGATTAATTTTATGGAAGAAAACCTTTCAAACAGCCGTAGTCCGTAAACTGCACACCTGTCAGGCTGTGATTGTCTCATGTATTTAAGAATTCCTACAACGCGAAATTCTTATAAAGCGGAACGTATCTACCGCGTTATAGGGGGTCGACTGTACTATTGTATCAGTTTTGTTCTTGTCATTTATTTAACTAAATATCAAACTCAGCGTTTTTAAAACGCTTAATAAAACATCAAACACCTTCCATCGCTGACAAATGTTTATTTAATAAACCACTAACATTTTCAGCCTCATGGAATAAACCATCCTCAGGTGTAAATGAGTTCGAACGTATTTTATTAAATAAACATTTCTCAGCGATGGAAGGTGTTTAATGTTTATTAAGTGTCATTTTTTATCCATAAACCTGGTTTTGGGTTTAAATAAAAGCTTTTTCATTTTTATAATAAAATGCATATAAAAAATTATGAAATCGAACTCGAAGATTATATATCTTTCAATAATAAGAAAACATTCATCCTCACAGCGAACGATCTAGCGCTCTTGCAGTGATTGCAGTGCCCCTGGTGGTAACATTTGTTTCTAGTTGATTTTAACAACGAGCGAAGATAGGAAGTCGAAAGACTAGTTAATCTACCGACTCTGGACACAGCCTACAATAAAAACAGCCTAGTCAAATGGGGAAAATCCCATTGAACTGTTGTTTCCAAAGGAAAATATTTTCTCCCGCTAGATGGAGCCACACAACGGTCCATAACAACACACACTGATTAAGTTATCCTAGCTACATGCTGTCATATAACAAAACGAAAACAAAAAGTTGCTATATCCTAAGTTTGAATTACTGTTTTGTTTTACGAAAACAAAACAGAAATTCAAACTTAGGATATAGCAAATTATTGATTTTTTTAATTAAGATTTTGCCCGGATTTTTGCAGATATATCTAAAACAATAGACATATCATTAATAATTATCTAAGCAGTTAAATGCAATAATAATTAATAGGATAGATGTACTGTACCCTTTCTGATCACATTAAGACAATTTTCAACTTTAAAAATATTTTTATATTCTTGCAATTTTTTAAAGCAATGAAACATGGTAAAAATAATGAAAAAACATGTTCTCTTTTACTTTATTACATTAATTTTTATTAATTTTAACATTTTAACTTATAGAAAAAAATATTACTGCCACAGCAAATTGTTGTATAGCTTATTTATAAAACTACTTATTTTTATTTGACTGGAAAAAAGTAAAATCCTAATATAAGTATAATACCCTAATAATGCGTACGGGAAGAATCCATACGGTAGCCAAAACTAGTACATCGTTTTTGGCCACCCCTGTGGCCATAACTGGTGCATCGTGAAATATGTTGATCCACTTCTGGCCATGACTGTTTTTAAATATAATAAACTAAATAACTTTTAAAATATTCTCACACTTTCTAAAGCTTACTATGTTAGCATAAAACAACATTTGTACAATTGAATTATATATTTATTAAAATATTAGCTGATACCTATATCAAGCACATCTTCGCAATAGTATTAGTATTGATCACTTGATCGAATAGTCTGGTCATCGGCGCTCCTAGTGAACAAAACGTAAAACCGCCTCAGGCATCGACGTGTTCAGAGCAAATGGCTACGCTGTTTTTATTGTAGGCTGTGCTCTGGACATAGTAAGATGTTTTCTTTTGGACTACGAGTGACGTCAAATAAGCAACCAAAGAGAAGCGTTTCATCTCTATGAGGCAAACTTCTACGATCTTGGATCGGGCTTACCGATAACTATAAACTTCAGAAAAATCGTACAACTATTATATAATAATGCAACGAGTTAAAAATCCCAAGAAAAACCAAATTTTATTTTGAAATTGACTTCTATAAAAAATACATTAATTCTATATTTACTATTTCTGAATATTTTTATTTTACACTTATTATTTAACTTTATTTTCATATAATATTTCGTAAATAAATTTATTTATATTTTAATAAGCATACATATATTAATATTTAAGTAAAAATAATCATCGAATCGTTTAAAATTCAATAAGTAATATTCGTCATAAATTTATTACAATATAAAAACTTTGTAGGGGTCTCTCAGATCGATCAGCTGTTTCACTTTCGCAGGCAACGTGTTTTAAGATGGATGGTGTGTTATACGAAGTTACGCAGGATTTCTTAGAGAAAGATATGGAAGTAATATTTGATGTTAACCGTTATGAAGAATACAAGCAAGCAGCTCATTGTGCCATTTATTCTTTTTCCGATAAAAAAGTCTTATCCAAATATTCAGTGAAAGCAAATGTTCTAGTTAGTAACTATTAAATTTGTTTATTCTTATAAATTTATTCTNATGCTCTCCACCTCAAATTACTAGTGGCTTGCCCCTGTACTGTACATCATATTTTCTTTTAACAATAGAGTCATGCTGGACATGTATCTAACACTTTTGGAACATTTTTGAATTGAAATAGTATGACTTCCAGTTTGCATTGGAAGTTTGTATATAGTTAACTGAGGTCTCCTGCTCCAATGCTTCCAAATCTGGTCTCATCTTTCATCTATCTAACTCTGTTCTCTAGATTAACGAAACATGGACATACAGATGGAAGACAGTGGAAATTTATAGGTCTACCATTTTTCAAATTGCAGTCTAATAAAACAATATTTATTAAATTATATAATATATTATTAAAAGAAAAGAATATCAATNATATGGAAGTAATATTTGATGTTAACCGTTATGAAGAATACAAGCAAGCAGCTCATTGTGCCATTTATTCTTTTTCCGATAAAAAAGTCTTATCCAAATATTCAGTGAAAGCAAATGTTCTAGTTAGTAACTATTAAATTTATTAAATTTGTTTATCCTTATAAATTTATTTTACTAAAGTTTTCTTACAGTTATCTTAAATTTGAGAAAATAGAATTCAGATCATATTCATATCAGCTTCTCCAATGTCATCAATGAAAAGACTTATGCAACTTTCGTGGAAAATTGTGAAATCTGTATCAGTGTCTCTTANTTAAAAGAAAAGAATATCAATATAACAGCAGTGACTTAAGTGAAATTCCCTGATATTATATCAATAACAAGTTTGACGAATTAATTTTGCTAAAAATATGTTGGTCAACAGCCAGATAAAATAAATCTTTCAAACAAAATGGATAGGAAATTATGAATTAATAGTCATTAACTTGATTTATGATATTTTTATAAAAAATTGCATCAGTGAATATATTAAGCTGCATTATTGATGATAATAGATATTTGCTGCATTCATAATTATAATGACAATTTTATTTATTTTTTATTGAATTGCTTATTTGGTTNATTACATTGCACATTGGCCAGTTTTCCATTCCGAGTTGCAGTGGCCTCGGCAGAGTCCCCCGCCGCGTGCCGCAGGGCCCCCCAGTTCCAAACTGGCACTACGACACACGACGAGATTATTCACCCGCTGATAGGGCAGCCAGCCCCATATGGCTAGAAGGGACTGGGCCCCTGTACTATCGTGCGGCCCGGGAGTGCGAACCCGGTTTTAAGCTGTACCCTCTGGGGGAGAGCCTTCGACCCAACCTATCCCTTCCAGCAGACCTCCGTTGCGGGTTCATTGACTTAGGGAACCCGGAGCCGCCGCTGCACTATTTTGTTTCACCCAGGGACGTCCTGGGCTACTGGGCCACCCCGCCATGACCAGGCAAGTGCATTCGACTTGTGGGGGATGAGACCCCCACCCTTTGGGGTGGACTGTAGATAGGGACAAGCGTCCCAAATGTCCCAACAAAAAAACTGTCGCACCTGTCATAGACTTATCGACAGTAACTATTTCTATTAATTCTTTAACACACAATACTATAAAATAAATTAACTATAATTATAAAAAAATTTACAGGACATAAAATGTAAAAAATAAAAATGTCTTTCATTGATAGGAACTGAAGAAGACCAAGAAGCCACAGATATGTTAGTTGGCAATGCTCAAAATCTCATGCAGTCAGTAAAAGAAACAGTTCGAGCTTGTGAAGCAGCATCTATTAAAATCCGTACTGATTCTGGAATCAGAGTACGCTGGGTCCGTAAACAACCTTGGTATCAATATTAATGAAAAACATATTTTGAACAAATCAAAAACTTTATAAACGTTAAAAGAATAATGTAAATTGATTATGATATTAGAGGATGCTTCTATAAAATTTTAATATGGAATTTAACTAAAAACATTATATCAGTATAACTGACTTAAAAATTGTTATCAGCTGAATAATACTTATGTAACTCAGAATCGAATATGGCTGTGACAGTGAATAATGCCAAAATTGGTTGTGGTTTTAATGTCTTTATTTACAATCTGCTTGTTGATTTATTTACATATTCAATATTTTGAGTCAGCATTTATATATTTGCTTTATACATATTATTTGTTTAAAATTAATTTATAATTATATTATTTTTGCCAATAAATCTTGTGCCATTTTTTATTATAATTNGTGCAACTTTCGTGGAAAATTGTGAAATCTGTATCAGTCTCTTTATAGCAACTGATAGTGAAAATATATTTTTCATTAGTGTATACAGTGACCAAAAAATCTTTATGCATACCATTTTCTAGGATCTTGGAAAATATCTCTCTGACAAACTCTTTTCTCAACCCTGTTTTGATCTAAAAGAACTTATCAAGAACTGCTTTAATTAATGACTATTATCAATGTAGAGAATGTCTAGAACATGGGAGAAAGATTAAAATTAGAATAAAGGGAGCATTTAAAATTTCTTATTAGCATACATAGCAACTTCATGCCACTCTCTATTTATTTCTGAATTTGAAAAATTGCCAGATGTAAAATTTTAATCCTAAAATGTTCCAAAAGTCTTTGGTTTAAAATATTACTACACCTTGTAATGGCCTGAGAAATTAGTTTATAAGTCATCATTTTATAATTCAGGAGATATTGCTTGGTATGAAAATTTAATTTCAAGTTAATTTAATCTATTAATTAGAAATAATTTCATTAATTTAATCTATTGAAATTATTTTTCTAATAGATACAATTTTATTTCTTATGAAGACCAATTTATCAATACTTTAAATATATTTTTTTTCCTGTTTTGTCAGATGGTAATGAGATTTGATGGAACATTAGGATTTCCGGGAGGAGAAATTCCCGAGGGAGAGAATATTGTCGATGGCTTAATTCGAGAATTGAAAGAAGAGATTAATTTTGACACGGATAAATATCAGTTTTGCAAAGAAAATTATATATTCACTATTGTAAATCATCAAGAAAAATACTGTTTTCATTTCTTTCGGTTGCGCATGCTGCCTGATGAATATTATGAAATGGAGAAGCGAGCTTTGTTAGCGGAGGACTATGGAGATGAAGTAATGAATGACTGTTTTGAATTTTTTAATGTTTAAAAAATTTGATGTTAACTACAGCAATTAAACTTTTTTTTTCAGACTTACGGAATATTAAGGGTACCACTTTATACATTTAATTCAAGCCGAGGATTTCCATCATTTCTTCAAAATAATTTTATTGAAAATGCCAAATTTCAATTGCTTTACTTCTTAGGAAAAGAAAAGATATTACCTATTGATGAATTAACTGAAGCTATAAGAAATGTTTAATTTTATAAAAATATTTCATTATTTACATATGTTGTTAATTTATTTTTAACATCATAATTTAAGTAAATAAAATTAAAATACTTCATTATGTTAAAAAAATTATTGGATATTTAAATTCTGATTTATTGTATTCCAAATTTATTAACTTCACAACTTTCTTAAAAGTATCTTTATAAATGACAATGAAGAGAGAAATTTTCAAAGATATAATTATGGAAAAAGAAGATAAATCAAAAGCAGTTATAACTTCCATAGATTATTAGCACTTTTAATAAAAGTTGCAGTCTTCAAGCACTAATTTTTGATGTGTATTTAGAGAAAGTGAATCATTACTTAATTTATATAAGCTTAGTGCTATTTTTATATCAGTTTGCACAGATACAAACTAGTCAACAATATATTGGATATTCAGGTAATAAGTTAATTGCACAACCAGTAGCAAACATATGTCATTAAAACAGTGCTTTTTAAACTTAAATGAATGTAGAAAAAAACTGCTGGTATTGCAATTAAAACTAATAAGACAAACTCAAGTTTACTGTTTAAAACAAAGACACTCAGGGGAGAAAGTTTAATTTCAAAGTTAGCCAAAGTGATTTATCATAGTTTTATGTTTAATTTTGTTAGTTATTAATTAATTAAACAATCAGAATTTAATTCATAAATTAACTTCTTATCAACGTTTTATATATAGAATTATCTACAGAATGATGTAAAGTTTAACATATATGTAACCAATGCATCTTTAGCAATGGTTGGAGAAATGCTAACCTTACCTTTTAAATGTATATTCATTACATGTTAAAAGTACAGCATATTCATCACTTTAAGTTAACTAGTGGCTAGATTAACTTTATTGCAATAAATGTATATAATAATAAATTCACAAAAAAATTAATTTTGATAATCCAATGCAAGCTTTTTATATTCAGGCAATCAATTTTCAGTTACTGAATCATATAAGTTATGCATCTATAATAATTATCAAACATTATTTAGCAATTTGATATCTGTAGACTAATTCCAGAATAAATCATTGTACCATACATATGTAAAAATAATAAATTACAATAATATTTATTTTTTAATTTTACAGAGAAAAATTCTAAGAACTAAAACTTCACTTCTGAATTTAATAATAATAATTTCTATTACTGTTCCTTTTTCCCAAAAAGATTATCATTTTCAGTTTTACTGCAATCTTGCAGAAATTGAATGAAAATTTAAATTCTTTAAAAAATCTACTCTCTATATGAAAAAACATTAATGGTGGTGATGCATTTATTATGTAGTTTTCATTTGTTTGACATTCACATTTTTGTAATAATTTTGATATTTTTGTTGTAATAAAAGAAACCAAATAAAATATGGATTCTGGAGAAGATTTCAAACAGAATGACACTGTTGATGCAAGAGTCAGTGGCAATTTCTCTTTGGATAGATTTCTAGATTTGTGTTAAAGAAATTTCAAATACAGAATAGTGAATGTTGAATAAATAGGCCCAATGTTGAAAATGGAGTGTATTGAGGAAGTGAACTCTAGTTCACATTTCACCCATAATCACTCAAACACTTCTCAATCATTATCTTTAATGGGACAAAGATACTTAATATCTATTTTGATGGAGGTAAAGTAAAACTATATGGTGAAGCAAAGATTTTCAAATCAAACAATCCTCCTGTTCAAAAACAGAAAGTTTGATTCTTGTTCTTTGCTTTCTACTTATTTGATGTGTTATAGCAATTATTCTGATTCAGAAATGGAAGGACCCAAATGTGACCATATATTTTGTTTGGACTGCTGGCAAGAATACTTGAGAACCAAATACTAGACAACGGGATGGTAGAAGCAATTCAATAATAGAGGATGATCTTGTTCTCAAACTTTTGAGATATATCAGTATCTTATCACAGATTGCTTCATGAATGCAACCATTTAATAAAATGTCTGGGACTCAAACACACCAAAGCCATTAAAGTGCAGTACGTTGATCGGCAACTGGTTGCACTTGTGGATATACATGTTCTTGTTCTTGTGGCATGAACCAGTTGTGACCTATTTCAGAAGTGGCAGAAGAAATGTGATGACAACAGAAGCACTTACAATTAGACAGAGGCTCCAGTAACACTAAAAAAGAATGTCCCAAATGCAGTGTCACTATAGTAAAAGATGGCACATGCAATCACAATGTATGTAAAAACCAGAATTGTATAGTTTGATGTATCTCAGATTTTGGGAACTCTACAGTTCACCTTGGTACAAATGCAACTGCTATAACGATATGAAGTTGCAGAAATGACCAGAGATACTTCAGAGAAACGTTGAGTGTGTGTTACTTGATATTATAATTGTTATACAAATCATATGCAAAGTACAAACTAGAACATAAATTAGACCTATATGAGTCAATCACAGAGAAAAAGGAAGAAATAAAAGATAAAATGACATCTAAACAAATGCAATGTACATCTTTATAAATATCATACTTTGATGTACATGTATTTTTGCTCCAAAGTCAAATACTATGAAAAAGAAGCAGGGTATCAGAACACATTCACAAGGGTTACAACAAGAAATGGTGAGAATACTTTGAATGAAATTACTGACTTTCTTTATATAATTTCATACAGAAAACTAAATTTAAGATCTATACAAAAAACCACATAAAAACTAAAATTAAGATCTTTTACACAAATTTTTATTAAAGTATTTTCTATTAACAGTATCCTAAAGCTTTATTTAATAAATATTTATTTCTAAAACTCATTGAGTGTAAAAAATGTTTAAACAAGAATGGCAAACTTTTTTCACTTTGTGGGCATCAAGAGGGCTTTTTTCCAAATCCCTTGTGGGTTTGGCCAGGTCTATAATGGGGCAACTGGATGGTGAGGGAAGGAATATCTGGGACAGACCACCCCAAAAAATCCCTGGGTTTTTCAACCCATCTGAATTTGATCTTGGGTCCCAAGAGCAGTAGACTGATATTTTAGCTACTTGGCCATCCAATCGTTATAAAATAGGAGCTTAAACATGTATATTTATGTTTAAAATAAAGATTTACAAACATAGGAATTGTGTGTTTTTTGTTATAACACAGTAATCAAGTAAATCATCATTACTAAAAAGTTGATACTCAAGAAAGCATCTTTATTTACACACAAACAAAACAAATATAATTAACAATATTTGTTCAACAAAAAGGTAGGTATCTTAATTAAAAATCATTTTAACATAATATATACTTCAAAATAAATTACTTTATATAACATTTTTACATTAAATACATAACAATTTGACCATAATCAATCAAAATAGTCTTCTATGTCTATATTAGGATTAAGCAAATCCTCACCATACTGAGAAAGATCTATTTGATTTAATATGAGATTTTCAAATGTTTCTTCCAGATCTGTTTCCCCAACTAATATGGCACCTTCCATTTTCCCATTTCTTAGTATGACTTTAACAAATTCTTTTCCTTTTGTCACTCTTACAAGAAGTTCATAATCGTTACCCAACTTCTGACCATTGTAAAGACCTAATAGTACCACCTGCAATTTCATACAAATTAATATTAATTTGATTGATTTACAATTATTCTAAGTGAAAAATTCTAATATACCTTATAACCAAAGAATTTTGTGACATGTTCAAACAGCTCGAAACAAAAATCTAACATTGTTTCTTCATTGTGGTAATGAGAGGATAAACAATGAGCTGCATAAGCACCCATTTGTCTGGCCTGAGTCCACAGTCTCATCTAAATAATTTTTAAAAATCTGATTAAACTTTTTCAAAGTATTTTAATTTTAAAATGTGAATTGCAAAGAAAAAAGATATCAAAGATGTATTGTAGACAGTTCAATAATTTAAAATTTTATATTATATATATATCAATTTCAATTTTATTATTCTGTTTAATGTATCAATATAGAATTAACTAATTGTATTGTAATTAAATTATTGTTTAACTTTATGCCACAATGAACTGTTTACTGAAACAATAACATCTCTTAATATAGGCTAGTATGCTATTCACGCCAAGTAACATTAATTAGTAGTTAAAACTCACTGTGTTTAGCGTTATTACTCGTTTTTTCGTTCATTCGAGCGCTTTCGACGAATATATATTTCCGTCGTCTTCAGGCGAATAAAATGTTTTAATCGAACATGAACGTTCGATAGAAGAACACATAAATTTAAAATTAAATAATTTTCCATTCGATTCCGAAACGGTTTGAATTACGTGCGATGTTACGAATATGATGTAATACGGCGCATGCGTGGNGTTTAGGCGAGTGCTATAAAAGTTGAGTTTACTATCGTCTGTACAGTATGTAAATTAGGTACCATAAGTCTAATACAGTACTGTAATTTTATACATTTTTTGTGAAAGAAACATTTCTTATTCAACGGCCATAAAAATTATTTATATTAATGATGTCTCCAAAGTTCAACGAATTTTTCGCAGAAAAAGAACTTATCAGAAATCGCGGCCGCCGTTTGGTGCACTGCTCCGCGACGAAAACAAGCTTAAGCAATGGCGACGTCGAACGGTGCACACTCGGTAAGTAATCCTACAATTTTTTGTTTATAGCATAGTTTATACGGATTATTCCCAAAAAAATATACGTGTTTTGGAAATGTTGAGTGAAATTAGTCTTGAATCGATTAATTTTATGGAAGAAAACCTTTCAAACAGCCGTAGTCCGTAAACTGCACACCTGTCAGGCTGTGATTGTCTCATGTATTTAAGAATTCCTACAACGCGAAATTCTTATAAAGCGGAACGTATCTACCGCGTTATAGGGGGTCGACTGTACTATTGTATCAGTTTTGTTCTTGTCATTTATTTAACTAAATATCAAACTCAGCGTTTTTAAAACGCTTAATAAAACATCAAACACCTTCCATCGCTGACAAATGTTTATTTAATAAACCACTAACATTTTCAGCCTCATGGAATAAACCATCCTCAGGTGTAAATGAGTTCGAACGTATTTTATTAAATAAACATTTCTCAGCGATGGAAGGTGTTTAATGTTTATTAAGTGTCATTTTTTATCCATAAACCTGGTTTTGGGTTTAAATAAAAGCTTTTTCATTTTTATAATAAAATGCATATAAAAAATTATGAAATCGAACTCGAAGATTATATATCTTTCAATAATAAGAAAACATTCATCCTCACAGCGAACGATCTAGCGCTCTTGCAGTGATTGCAGTGCCCCTGGTGGTAACATTTGTTTCTAGTTGATTTTAACAACGAGCGAAGATAGGAAGTCGAAAGACTAGTTAATCTACCGACTCTGGACACAGCCTACAATAAAAACAGCCTAGTCAAATGGGGAAAATCCCATTGAACTGTTGTTTCCAAAGGAAAATATTTTCTCCCGCTAGATGGAGCCACACAACGGTCCATAACAACACACACTGATTAAGTTATCCTAGCTACATGCTGTCATATAACAAAACGAAAACAAAAAGTTGCTATATCCTAAGTTTGAATTACTGTTTTGTTTTACGAAAACAAAACAGAAATTCAAACTTAGGATATAGCAAATTATTGATTTTTTTAATTAAGATTTTGCCCGGATTTTTGCAGATATATCTAAAACAATAGACATATCATTAATAATTATCTAAGCAGTTAAATGCAATAATAATTAATAGGATAGATGTACTGTACCCTTTCTGATCACATTAAGACAATTTTCAACTTTAAAAATATTTTTATATTCTTGCAATTTTTTAAAGCAATGAAACATGGTAAAAATAATGAAAAAACATGTTCTCTTTTACTTTATTACATTAATTTTTATTAATTTTAACATTTTAACTTATAGAAAAAAATATTACTGCCACAGCAAATTGTTGTATAGCTTATTTATAAAACTACTTATTTTTATTTGACTGGAAAAAAGTAAAATCCTAATATAAGTATAATACCCTAATAATGCGTACGGGAAGAATCCATACGGTAGCCAAAACTAGTACATCGTTTTTGGCCACCCCTGTGGCCATAACTGGTGCATCGTGAAATATGTTGATCCACTTCTGGCCATGACTGTTTTTAAATATAATAAACTAAATAACTTTTAAAATATTCTCACACTTTCTAAAGCTTACTATGTTAGCATAAAACAACATTTGTACAATTGAATTATATATTTATTAAAATATTAGCTGATACCTATATCAAGCACATCTTCGCAATAGTATTAGTATTGATCACTTGATCGAATAGTCTGGTCATCGGCGCTCCTAGTGAACAAAACGTAAAACCGCCTCAGGCATCGACGTGTTCAGAGCAAATGGCTACGCTGTTTTTATTGTAGGCTGTGCTCTGGACATAGTAAGATGTTTTCTTTTGGACTACGAGTGACGTCAAATAAGCAACCAAAGAGAAGCGTTTCATCTCTATGAGGCAAACTTCTACGATCTTGGATCGGGCTTACCGATAACTATAAACTTCAGAAAAATCGTACAACTATTATATAATAATGCAACGAGTTAAAAATCCCAAGAAAAACCAAATTTTATTTTGAAATTGACTTCTATAAAAAATACATTAATTCTATATTTACTATTTCTGAATATTTTTATTTTACACTTATTATTTAACTTTATTTTCATATAATATTTCGTAAATAAATTTATTTATATTTTAATAAGCATACATATATTAATATTTAAGTAAAAATAATCATCGAATCGTTTAAAATTCAATAAGTAATATTCGTCATAAATTTATTACAATATAAAAACTTTGTAGGGGTCTCTCAGATCGATCAGCTGTTTCACTTTCGCAGGCAACGTGTTTTAAGATGGATGGTGTGTTATACGAAGTTACGCAGGATTTCTTAGAGAAAGATATGGAAGTAATATTTGATGTTAACCGTTATGAAGAATACAAGCAAGCAGCTCATTGTGCCATTTATTCTTTTTCCGATAAAAAAGTCTTATCCAAATATTCAGTGAAAGCAAATGTTCTAGTTAGTAACTATTAAATTTGTTTATTCTTATAAATTTATTCTACTAAAGTTTTCTTACAGTTATCTTAAATTTGAGAAAATAGTATTTAGATCATATTCATATCAGCTTCTTCAATATCACCAATGAGAAGACTTGTGCAACTTTCGTGGAAAATTGTGAAATCTGTATCAGTCTCTTTATAGCAACTGATAGTGAAAATATATTTTTCATTAGTGTATACAGTGACCAAAAAATCTTTATGCATACCATTTTCTAGGATCTTGGAAAATATCTCTCTGACAAACTCTTTTCTCAACCCTGTTTTGATCTAAAAGAACTTATCAAGAACTGCTTTAATTAATGACTATTATCAATGTAGAGAATGTCTAGAACATGGGAGAAAGATTAAAATTAGAATAAAGGGAGCATTTAAAATTTCTTATTAGCATACATAGCAACTTCATGCCACTCTCTATTTATTTCTGAATTTGAAAAATTGCCAGATGTAAAATTTTAATCCTAAAATGTTCCAAAAGTCTTTGGTTTAAAATATTACTACACCTTGTAATGGCCTGAGAAATTAGTTTATAAGTCATCATTTTATAATTCAGGAGATATTGCTTGGTATGAAAATTTAATTTCAAGTTAATTTAATCTATTAATTAGAAATAATTTCATTAATTTAATCTATTGAAATTATTTTTCTAATAGATACAATTTTATTTCTTATGAAGACCAATTTATCAATACTTTAAATATATTTTTTTTCCTGTTTTGTCAGATGGTAATGAGATTTGATGGAACATTAGGATTTCCGGGAGGAGAAATTCCCGAGGGAGAGAATATTGTCGATGGCTTAATTCGAGAATTGAAAGAAGAGATTAATTTTGACACGGATAAATATCAGTTTTGCAAAGAAAATTATATATTCACTATTGTAAATCATCAAGAAAAATACTGTTTTCATTTCTTTCGGTTGCGCATGCTGCCTGATGAATATTATGAAATGGAGAAGCGAGCTTTGTTAGCGGAGGACTATGGAGATGAAGTAATGAATGACTGTTTTGAATTTTTTAATGTTTAAAAAATTTGATGTTAACTACAGCAATTAAACTTTTTTTTTCAGACTTACGGAATATTAAGGGTACCACTTTATACATTTAATTCAAGCCGAGGATTTCCATCATTTCTTCAAAATAATTTTATTGAAAATGCCAAATTTCAATTGCTTTACTTCTTAGGAAAAGAAAAGATATTACCTATTGATGAATTAACTGAAGCTATAAGAAATGTTTAATTTTATAAAAATATTTCATTATTTACATATGTTGTTAATTTATTTTTAACATCATAATTTAAGTAAATAAAATTAAAATACTTCATTATGTTAAAAAAATTATTGGATATTTAAATTCTGATTTATTGTATTCCAAATTTATTAACTTCACAACTTTCTTAAAAGTATCTTTATAAATGACAATGAAGAGAGAAATTTTCAAAGATATAATTATGGAAAAAGAAGATAAATCAAAAGCAGTTATAACTTCCATAGATTATTAGCACTTTTAATAAAAGTTGCAGTCTTCAAGCACTAATTTTTGATGTGTATTTAGAGAAAGTGAATCATTACTTAATTTATATAAGCTTAGTGCTATTTTTATATCAGTTTGCACAGATACAAACTAGTCAACAATATATTGGATATTCAGGTAATAAGTTAATTGCACAACCAGTAGCAAACATATGTCATTAAAACAGTGCTTTTTAAACTTAAATGAATGTAGAAAAAAACTGCTGGTATTGCAATTAAAACTAATAAGACAAACTCAAGTTTACTGTTTAAAACAAAGACACTCAGGGGAGAAAGTTTAATTTCAAAGTTAGCCAAAGTGATTTATCATAGTTTTATGTTTAATTTTGTTAGTTATTAATTAATTAAACAATCAGAATTTAATTCATAAATTAACTTCTTATCAACGTTTTATATATAGAATTATCTACAGAATGATGTAAAGTTTAACATATATGTAACCAATGCATCTTTAGCAATGGTTGGAGAAATGCTAACCTTACCTTTTAAATGTATATTCATTACATGTTAAAAGTACAGCATATTCATCACTTTAAGTTAACTAGTGGCTAGATTAACTTTATTGCAATAAATGTATATAATAATAAATTCACAAAAAAATTAATTTTGATAATCCAATGCAAGCTTTTTATATTCAGGCAATCAATTTTCAGTTACTGAATCATATAAGTTATGCATCTATAATAATTATCAAACATTATTTAGCAATTTGATATCTGTAGACTAATTCCAGAATAAATCATTGTACCATACATATGTAAAAATAATAAATTACAATAATATTTATTTTTTAATTTTACAGAGAAAAATTCTAAGAACTAAAACTTCACTTCTGAATTTAATAATAATAATTTCTATTACTGTTCCTTTTTCCCAAAAAGATTATCATTTTCAGTTTTACTGCAATCTTGCAGAAATTGAATGAAAATTTAAATTCTTTAAAAAATCTACTCTCTATATGAAAAAACATTAATGGTGGTGATGCATTTATTATGTAGTTTTCATTTGTTTGACATTCACATTTTTGTAATAATTTTGATATTTTTGTTGTAATAAAAGAAACCAAATAAAATATGGATTCTGGAGAAGATTTCAAACAGAATGACACTGTTGATGCAAGAGTCAGTGGCAATTTCTCTTTGGATAGATTTCTAGATTTGTGTTAAAGAAATTTCAAATACAGAATAGTGAATGTTGAATAAATAGGCCCAATGTTGAAAATGGAGTGTATTGAGGAAGTGAACTCTAGTTCACATTTCACCCATAATCACTCAAACACTTCTCAATCATTATCTTTAATGGGACAAAGATACTTAATATCTATTTTGATGGAGGTAAAGTAAAACTATATGGTGAAGCAAAGATTTTCAAATCAAACAATCCTCCTGTTCAAAAACAGAAAGTTTGATTCTTGTTCTTTGCTTTCTACTTATTTGATGTGTTATAGCAATTATTCTGATTCAGAAATGGAAGGACCCAAATGTGACCATATATTTTGTTTGGACTGCTGGCAAGAATACTTGAGAACCAAATACTAGACAACGGGATGGTAGAAGCAATTCAATAATAGAGGATGATCTTGTTCTCAAACTTTTGAGATATATCAGTATCTTATCACAGATTGCTTCATGAATGCAACCATTTAATAAAATGTCTGGGACTCAAACACACCAAAGCCATTAAAGTGCAGTACGTTGATCGGCAACTGGTTGCACTTGTGGATATACATGTTCTTGTTCTTGTGGCATGAACCAGTTGTGACCTATTTCAGAAGTGGCAGAAGAAATGTGATGACAACAGAAGCACTTACAATTAGACAGAGGCTCCAGTAACACTAAAAAAGAATGTCCCAAATGCAGTGTCACTATAGTAAAAGATGGCACATGCAATCACAATGTATGTAAAAACCAGAATTGTATAGTTTAATGTATCTCAGATTTTGGGAACTCTACAGTTCACCTTGGTACAAATGCAACTGCTATAACGATATGAAGTTGCAGAAATGACCAGAGATACTTCAGAGAAACGTTGAGTGTGTGTTACTTGATATTATAATTGTTATACAAATCATATGCAAAGTACAAACTAGAACATAAATTAGACCTATATGAGTCAATCACAGAGAAAAAGGAAGAAATAAAAGATAAAATGACATCTAAACAAATGCAATGTACATCTTTATAAATATCATACTTTGATGTACATGTATTTTTGCTCCAAAGTCAAATACTATGAAAAAGAAGCAGGGTATCAGAACACATTCACAAGGGTTACAACAAGAAATGGTGAGAATACTTTGAATGAAATTACTGACTTTCTTTATATAATTTCATACAGAAAACTAAATTTAAGATCTATACAAAAAACCACATAAAAACTAAAATTAAGATCTTTTACACAAATTTTTATTAAAGTATTTTCTATTAACAGTATCCTAAAGCTTTATTTAATAAATATTTATTTCTAAAACTCATTGAGTGTAAAAAATGTTTAAACAAGAATGGCAAACTTTTTTCACTTTGTGGGCATCAAGAGGGCTTTTTTCCAAATCCCTTGTGGGTTTGGCCAGGTCTATAATGGGGCAACTGGATGGTGAGGGAAGGAATATCTGGGACAGACCACCCCAAAAAATCCCTGGGTTTTTCAACCCATCTGAATTTGATCTTGGGTCCCAAGAGCAGTAGACTGATATTTTAGCTACTTGGCCATCCAATCGTTATAAAATAGGAGCTTAAACATGTATATTTATGTTTAAAATAAAGATTTACAANTCAGGAATTTATTATCCAAAAACTAAATCTAATTACACAACTCAAAATTATTACTTTCTCGTTATTTAATAATTGCATTAACTTAAAATAATTAACTGTAACATTTGAATAATTTTTTAGGCAAATCAAAAGTAAATGATTATTTTATCAATATAGAAAATGTGTATATAAACCTTACTTGAAACCAATGAGAAGCATGATTCCAACCAGCTGTGCAAACATCTCCAGCTGCATATAAATCTGGTATATTAGTTCTCATTTGATCATCAACTAAAATACCACCATCATTGGCCAAATTTATCTGTAAAAATATAGATTTAATAAAAGAAAAAACACATTAAAATTTAATTAAATATGTCTAAAGTCACAAATTTAGGATCAAGTTCAGAGGTGTGATTTTCTTATAAAGTGATTCTTTAGAGGGGAGTGAAATTTACTTTAAAAATTCAAATAGAGTTTGTTAAGTGTTATTTGAATAATTATTAAATATTAAATTACATAAAACTAAATTTAATAAAAATAAATGAAACAGAAACCAAAAACTTGTTATAGATGTTTATCTTAAAGAGCAAATTGTAATTATACCAAATTATACTTTTAATTTTAAAATACTCATACTTCACTTTATAGTAAAGATATCTTTACTCTAATTTTCGTGATTGCTACTGAAAGTACTTAATATTTTCTGAACTGTCTTTGCTTCAAAATTAAACATCTTCAGGTTTGTAACATGAGATTTTTTTCAGTTAACTTTTGCATTCCTCATGATCATCACTATTAAAATTAGCTGCTGAGTTTGTTTGGAGTCTCGCTTGCAGCCAATCAAATCATTTTTGTGAATAAAACTGTTTGTTTGACTAACAAAAATCAAACCTGCAGTTAAAGAGTGTAGTACAGAAAACTTTTGATATTAACATTTGTTGCTCAGCAAAATTCAAAATGCATCCCACAGGATTATAAATTCAAAAAATAAACTTTTGCCTATTTTAATATTAGACTATTCTCAAAATTTACTCAAATTAATCTGCATTCAAAAGAGTATTATTATTTGTTAAATTACAATTTTATGATCTGAAAACTGAACTGTGTGAATATATGCCATTCTTTCTAAAAATATACTGACCTCCCTCAATTATTCTCCACCTTTTAATTAATTGATAATAAACAGATTAAAAATTTAAACTATAAAAATAAGTCATTTTATATTGATTATTATCATTTTTACTCTGTATGCCTAAAACTAAATATTAAAGGAAAAGTTTGCTGTTTCATTGAAAACTACTATGGAATGTACAATCCCACTGTGCATCCATGATTTTCTTTAACTGCATTTCCCATCTCACAGGAATGCTTCAATTAATAAATTTGAAAGACTACTAAATTAAGCTAAATGTAATGTACTGAATTTAAAATATTCTAATGTAATTTGAAATATAAATGGAAAAAAAATTACTTGAAACTACACTATATGGAATAGAATAATTTAATTTAATAACTTTCACAATATTAACATGTAGAATTTACCTTGCTTAAAGATGTAAATGGTTTTGTATTGGGTATCACACCAGTCGCACTGACAATGAAATCACATCCATAAACTTTTCCATTGGTAAGTTTAACAAATATTGGCCAAGCTCCTAAAATAATTTATAATTAAAATAACAAATGTCAAGAATAAGCAAATTTAAAATATATTTTAAGTAAAATATTTACTTTTATCATTTGATAAATTTAATTTTAGTTCTGTTTCTTGAATATTTTTACTTAAAAATTCATTTCTTTCATAAATGTCTTCAACTTCACAACTATATTCTATATGAACATCATGTATTTTCTAAACAGGATAAACAAGTTATTTTTTTATTTTAATTCTATTTAGTCAATATTTTTACTTACAGGAGAATCTCCTTTCATTAAAATATTTGACGACCAATCTGGGCCTAATGCTGAACCAGATGAATTTGAAAAATTTGTAGATTGATCACTTTCTGAAAAATCACATTAATATACAATTTAACACAATTATCAATATCAATAAAATATAAGTTTATGTATGTTTTTACCTGATATATATTTTGTGTGTTTTATGAAGTTATCTCTTTTAGGACATTTTTCTTCAGAAAGATGAGGGAGAAAAAATTCTGCCACTCCAGGATCAAAAAATGTGCTGCCTACAGATTTATCCTTTATTGACCAAATAATTTGGCAATTTTCAATTTCATATCTAAAATAATTTTGTTTTTTTTAATGATAAACTTGTCATCTTTTTATTTTGGCTCAATTAAAATTAAATATGTAACAAATACACAAGTTCTGTTGCAATTCCACCATTTCCAACAACAATTATTCTTCTTGCATTTTGTAATTTCTTTTGAAATATCTAAAAATTTAATTTTTAAAAAAGTTAATAATTTTTTAAAATTATAATTAATTATAATTTCAATTTATAAATATATATTACAATGGTACAGAAGGTATATATTTAAAAAATAAAGAATATAACAAATTAATGGTTTTAAAGTATTTTAATACTAGTACTAGTTTATTTTCTTTCAATACGAAACCATGTCTTTTGTCTATATTTTTCCTTATTACACCAAAGAAGTGTCATCACTAGACACCAGGCTTGGCTTTACATCCATTTTTATTCTGCCATTTAGGTGCCAAAACAGTAAAATAAAAATGGATGTAAAGTAAAGCCTGGTGTCAATTTAGTGCAGTTCATTGTGTAATAAGGAAGAATACTAGTTTATTGTTATTTTAACATTCACCTTGCCAGTTTTATATACAGCATATAATTGGTATGAGAACATTCAAATAGACAGATTTAAAAAATTCTTTTTTCAATTAAAATAACATAAAACACATGAAAGAAATAAAAATATTTATAGACTATTAACTATTATATTTAAAATTAAATTGTATAAATAGAACATTTGTACAAATTCTATTTTATACATAAAACTGGAGATGGCTCAAACAAAACCAAAAACACTTCTTATAAAAAAAAGTTGTTGGTATGATTAACAAGCAGGGTTGATGATCTTATTATAATAAGTCATTCAACCATTATAGATTTTAAGAACTTTTTCTTTTCAATATATATTTCTTTTAAATATACATAAGATTAGTAATAAAAAGTTCTACAATTATATGAGGGTGGCTTTTTTACAAGCTCCACTGGTCCATAAAACAAAGACAAATGTAAATAACAAAATGAATTTATTACCAAAAGTTAAGTACAAACCTGGTTACTTTTCGACATAATCACCGTGAAGATTGAGACATTTGTCATATCTGTGGACGAGCTTTTCCATCCCTTGTCATAGAATGTTGCCACCAGTGAATTGAGATGGCCTTAACAATGTTGTTTTGAAAATTGTCATTAGTCTCAAACCTCTGCCCTGCTAGCAATGTTTTCAGTTCAGGAGAGATGGACGTCACCACACATTAAAAAGTTTTAAGCTGGGTGGAAGTCTTTGCCACCTTTAAACACCCAGTGTATAGCCAAGATTTAGCGCCGTGCGACTTCCACCTCTTTCCTGAACAGGAAAAGTGGCTAGGAGGGCAGAGGTTCAAGACTAATGACGATCTTCAAAACAACATTAAGACCCATATCAAATCATTGGTGACAACATTCTATGACAAGGGGATGGAAAAGCTCATCCACAGATATGACAAATGTCTCAATCTTCACAGTGATTATGTCAAAACATAACCATGTTTTGGTAATAAATTCATTTTGTTATTTACACTTGTCTTTTTTTAATGGATCATCGAAGCTTGAAAAAAACAGCCTACGTATTTTTTAAAAATTAAATTATCAACAAATTATAAAAATATAGAACAATATTATGATGTATTAATTAATAATATGAAATATCTAATAAGTGTTAAAACACTTTATTTAGCTAAATAACTTTTTAGAAAACTGTTGAATACTTTAAAACTTTTAGAAAACTATTTATATTGAATATTAGAATATTTGATAAATATAAAAATAATAATTAAATGCAACAATTTATAATCAAGTTTTAAAACTTAGTTGAAAATTAATAATAAAAGTTTTACCTGAACAGTTTCAGTATCTCTAATTCCTAAAACATATGGATTATCTTTAGCTATAATCTAGAAACATATACAATAAGTTAATTAAACAAAATATTTAGTTTTGAGAAATTAAATAAAATTTACCTTTGGTGTTGCTCCAGTACAAATGCATAATTTTTCATATTTAATAATGCAATTTTCTTCCAAATATAATTCCTATAAATTATTTAATATTCATTATAAAATGAAGAAAATTAATCATAACTATTTAAGCTTTGGTGGAGGTCAAAATGACACTAGAGAAACCAATGTCAACAGAGAGGCGACAGTCTGTCACCAAATCCTTTGTGGGTAGCCGGAGATATATAAATCCTTTAGTTGTTGTTATTATTATGTAGTGTTGTTGAAATATATTCTATATGGCAAACATACTGGTTCTTAGTGCTATGTCATACCAAAGTCAAGGCAAAACTACAGAAAAGAAATGTACTGTTTATATACTGTTTGTGTATGTATCTATGTTTACGAATTTTCCAACTAAGTGATTTGTGTTTAGTATGGCAGTCTTTTGTAGCATGATGTAGTGGTATATTTTGGATATTATTATATTATTATTAAAAAAATAATCATAAAATGTCAACAAATAAGTAAATAATATTTAAAGAATTCTGATAAAATTATTTATTTGTATAATTATTAATTAAATTATTTGCTAAGAAATACTTTTTTCTCTGCATTTAATCCAGTTGCTGGTAAAAATATCACTTTTAAGTTTGGATAAAGAGCTTCTAGGAATGAACCTTTTTTCTCTTCCACATCAAATGATTGCAGTGTTTGTGTTATCTAGAATTTAGAATAATTAAAAAGTTATAACATATATTTTAAACATTTCATAAATTAATAAAATTATTAATGCATTTATCATCATATATAATTGTAACTTAAATTAAAATAAAAAAACTAAATAGATAAGCATAGTTATGAACAATAGTAAAACTAAACATCTGTCTATATTACATAGCTTAATTTGGGCAAATTATTTGAAATTATGTCATAACACTAATACCAGTATAATTTTTTATAACTTAAAATGAGAATTAAAACATCATATTATTGTTAGTATTTAAATGACACTATCTTCTTGCTCTTTTTAGATATCATTACTACTCTGTTTGAATATAAAAAAAATAAAATTGACAAATGATGTAAAGTGCAAAATGTGTTAAACAAATTATGAATAATTAAAAAAAAAATTAAGGTGTTAAAGTATAATCTTCAAAGACATGTATCTTAAAAATATAAAAAAGTAAAAAATATAAACAAATAATTTTAAATATATTAAGAACAGTAGAAAATTGTTTCATTACAAAATTTACAAATATTTGAATGATTTCCTTTAGAAAACAATTTTTTGCTAATTATTAAGGATGTTCTCTAACTTTTGACTGTGATTTCACGAAGAGATTCCAGTAAACCAGTTTAAAAGATCAATTAAATATGCTTCAAAACTATTTTACAGCTGATGGATTTTAATTTGGTGTTAATATTACTATGCTGTTATTGATTACTGATGTAATGTGTTTTTAATTTAGATCAATAGGGTCACACAAGGGGCTCGGGAAGTAATATGAGGGACTTTAATTTGATGTTGTTATTACTATGCTATTAACAATTATTAACAATTAACAATTAACAAGTGTATATATAAAAATATAGAGGTAATAGAGGAGAACATTTGGTATAAAAACAAACACGCAAATTGTGAGTAACCTCCTATTGATAAAAACAAAAAGATTCCTGAACTGAAAGTACAGAAGGTTACAGCAAATGTTCAAAACAGTATTGTAAGGTAATTTGCATTCAGATTATGATTACAAACAAAGGATTGAATTCATAACAACATATATAACTTCTTCACTCTTCATGTGTTCAGTAACATAAAAGATGCACTAAACAAGTTCAAGTTCTTCCCTTGTGTTTATTTCTTCCTTGTACACTTAAACCTTCTTGTATCCAACATGCGAAATTCACTGATATGAGATCTGATGCTCTTGCTGGCCAATTGAGCTTTCCATTTCACCTAACCAGCTGTATGAAAAGGACCCTCTCAAAGTGATATGTCTGATAACATATATTGAGAGAGATTTCTTCTAAAAGACTTAATTACCATTACATTGACTATTGATCAATCATCATTGAACATCTAATTATAAATTTTTACAATTAATTTTCTATGTAGAACTTAAATTCATCAATTAAAAAATTTATTGCATAACAAGCAGCAGGGAAAGAATATAAAATGTATGTATTATATATGTCATGTTGATGTAAAGTAGCAGGCATTATATATCTAAGAAGGAATTGTTCATGAAAAATAATGTGCAACTTAACAAGTAATGTCTGAAAAAATCTTTTGCAATAAATTTCTGAAAAGTTCAAAATAAGTCTTTTGTTGAAAAATAAAAATTTGCTCTCTGCAAAGTGCAGCATATAGATTATATCATTTATTAACTTCATTGATTTGGACTTTTCTGTTGCCAATCACACTGTTTTAAACATTATTATGTTACTGTAAAAGACCGAAATTAGAGAATGTCGATATTCTCCAGTGAATGTCGACACATACAAAATACGTCGGTGAAAGACCGAAAAGTATTTGGTCTTTCACCGACGTAAAAGTATATTTGGTTATATTATTATACATTCGAACAATCACTGGTGTATGTCGACAAGCACAGATAAGCTTTGGTGGAGGTCAAAATGACACTAGAGAAACCAATGTCAACAGAGAGGCGACAGTCTGTCACCAAATCCTTTGTGGGTAGCCGGAGATAGGACAAGATTGTACCTCTTTTCCCAGCAACGGTTTGGTAGAAACTGCCCACTTTGTCACTGGATAGTGTTTTTGTTCTTTTGATCCCGTGAGGTGGGAATCGGTTTTTCAGGTCGAGTGATGGAGGATGAGAGGGGTCGTGAGTAAGGCGTCGGCGATATCCGAATAAAAGACACCATTAACAGATCAGTTCGTAATCACGTAATAACGTAATCAGTTCGTAGTTTGTAAAGAAAAGTTACTTTCCATAGATGAGATTTCTTCTCAAAAGATATTGCTGAGAGAAGCAGCTGCAGCTAATTTAAAAAGTGGAGGGCAAGCTGTCATGCAAAAAGAAGTGTTCCACGTGTTATACATGCTGTCATTACGAAGTGTTATACATGCTGTCGTTGCAAAGTGTTATACATGCTATCATTAAGAAGTGTTATACATGCTGTCATTGCAAAAAGAAGTGTTCCACGAATAAATGCAGTTGTAACTCTTGCAAGGGACTCTTGGGCAATTCAAGTGTCACAACAGTTTAAGTTGTTGCAATAAATAAGATTGTATAATTTTAATCACATAATTTATGTGTAAGTAATCAATAGGATGACTAACACACCAAATTAATATATAATAACAAAAATAAAGACACTGAGTTCAGCATTACATACATACATTTTTTATAGCAATAAAAATCGTATGCATGTAACGCTGAACTCAGTGTCTTTATTTTTGTTATTATGTGTAAGTTTATTATTGAATTAATTTCTTTTCTGATTAAGAATGTACTGTTCGTTTTATTGATAGGTTCGACAGTTTATTTACATGTGCTATTACTAAAGCTTTCTCCTATTTTGACATATTAAAAAGTTGCATTTTTGACTTAACATAATAAAAATATTTTTATTCAACATTTACCATCAGTGCATGCTGAATGTCGACATTTGCCAGTGTAAGTGAGAAATAATGATATTTAGCAAATATTTCGTACATACACAAAACGACTGTGTGAATGCTGACATTCACCGGAGAATATTGACATTCGCCAGATATCGGTCATTCACAGTAACAATTATAAATAATGCATATATCTTATAACAAAAATCAATTGAACTGTTTAAAATTAAATAAATTACTTATAAATTTTACTTACTTGCTGAACATTTGATGCAGCTTTAACTAATGGAGATGAAGAAACTAAGCCTACACTTTCATTTGGATTCAGCATACATAACTATTTTTAAGAAGAAATATTTTGGTTAGACTAACCAATATGAATATTTATTTAACAATAAGAGAAAATTAAATTTCTTATAGTTTTAATAGTAAATTTACATTGTATGACATGTAGGTACTCTTTGGTTAATGGACACCAGTCAAATATTAAAATCCTATTCATGTTTACGTCTTAATATTTGCTATTTTTTAGATTAAATCATAAGTAAAGTTTATCAGAATGCAAACCTACCCTTTTCTTTAAGTTTGTATAAAAGTCATAAAAGTCAATTAGGAAATAAAACAATGATTGTTAATACACATTTGATATCAAAAACAATTAGCATATTTTCATGTTGGTATGATTGCAAAAGTTAAATTTCAATTTTTAGTTGTATATTATACATATAACTTGTTGTTTTATGTTATTTGGTTATAAATTCTAGATTAGAATAATATTAAAAGTTAAAATTGATTTTTAAATTTCTTTTCAACCTAGTTTGCATAGTACTGCGTCTCATAGTTGCATCATTCAATGTCATATAGTTATGTAAATTACATTTCTTGGTAGGAATGATGCACCTCAAAGTTAGATACTGTAATATTTTTTCCAAGTTTGCCATAATTGTACATTTTTATCCATTTCTAGCTCTTCAATTTAAAATGAATTTAGAATATGGCAATTGTCAACTGACGAAGAAATTGCAATTCATTTTTTCCTAGAAATTGGAATCTTACATGGCGAGTTAGGAAATAATCTCAGTATGAATTTTGATGGAAATGATTATATGCATTATGTTTGTACCAATTTTTTCATCTCAAATCTTTGAAAAACTAGGTGGTGCAAACAGAGTCCTCGAGGTGGAAGAAAGACAATATACACGTAGAAAAAAAATGTCAAACCCATTTTTCTGCAGTAGTAGATATTCAATGGGGTTTGCCTTGAGTCAAAAAAGTGTTTTTTAGTCACTGTGCAAAAAGTTTTTGCATGTGTTTTTTTTCACAAATATCCAGTTTCTTCTAACTCGTTATTTTTGTCCGCTTTCCAACAGTCAAAAAATATTATACCTCCTAATAATGGTCGTGCAAGACCATTATTAGGAGGTATAATATTTTTTGACTGTTGGAAAGCGGACAAAAATAACGAGTTAGAAGAAACTGGATATTTGTGAAAAAAAACACATGCAAAAACTTTTTGCACAGTGACTAAAAAACACTTTTTTGACTCAAGGCAAACCCCATTGAATATCTACTACTGCAGAAAAATGGGTTTGACATTTTTTTTCTACGTGTATATTGTCTTTCTTCCACCTCGAGGACTCTGTTTGCACCACCTAGTTTTTCAAAGATTTGAGATGAAAAAATTGGTACAAACATAATGCATATAATCATTTCCATCAAAATTCATACTGAGATTATTTCCTAACTCGCCATGTAAGATTCCAATTTCTAGGAAAAAATGAATTGCAATTTCTTCGTCAGTTGACAATTGCCATATTCTAAATTCATTTTAAATTGAAGAGCTAGAAATGGATAAAAATGTACAATTATGGCAAACTTGGAAAAAATATTACAGTATCTAACTTTGAGGTGCATCATTCCTACCAAGAAATGTAATTTACATAACTATATGACATTGAATGATGCAACTATGAGACGCAGTACTATGCAAACTAGGTTGAAAAGAAATTTAAAAATCAATTTTAACTTTTAATATTATTCTAATCTAGAATTTATAACCAAATAACATAAAACAACAAGTTATATGTATAATATACAACTAAAAATTGAAATTTAACTTTTGCAATCATACCAACATGAAAATATGCTAATTGTTTTTGATATCAAATGTGTATTAACAATCATTGTTTTATTTCCTAATTGACTTTTATGACTTTTATACAAACTTAAAGAAAAGGGTAGGTTTGCATTCTGATAAACTTTACTTATGATTTAATCTAAAAAATAGCAAATATTAAGACGTAAACATGAATAGGATTTTAATATTTGACTGGTGTCCATTAACCAAAGAGTACCTACATGTCATACAATGTAAATTTACTATTAAAACTATAAGAAATTTAATTTTCTCTTATTGTTAAATAAATATTCATATTGGTTAGTCTAACCAAAATATTTCTTCTTAAAAATAGTTATGTATGCTGAATCCAAATGAAAGTGTAGGCTTAGTTTCTTCATCTCCATTAGTTAAAGCTGCATCAAATGTTCAGCAAGTAAGTAAAATTTATAAGTAATTTATTTAATTTTAAACAGTTCAATTGANACCATTATTAGGAGGTATAATATTTTTTGACTGTTGGAAAGCGGACAAAAATAACGAGTTAGAAGAAACTGGATATTTGTGAAAAAAAACACATGTATAATAAACTTTGTAGACCCTGAAACTAGATGTTATGCACAAAACATAAAAATAATTGTAGTAAGTTTATTTATTCCTTATAATTTTAAATATATGCAAATCAGTGGCATGCGGTGACATTTGATGATAGGGAAGCTGTGTTTCCATAAAAATTATAAACAAATACTGGAAATGACAAAAATAAACAGTTTATTTATTTTAATTTTAAAATATCTACATTGATATGAAACAAAGATATAAGAACTTGTTTACAAAATAATTGCATAATACGTATTTATATTTTAGAAAATACATGAGAAGTGGTAGTTCCACAGCTTCCATAGACTGCACGCCACTGGTGTGAATCATGCAATAAAATAAAGATTTTGCTAAAAATAGTAGTGAAAATGACTGGCATCCCATCAACTGAAGAGTACCAAAATGTAAATAGGTAGTGTATTTGATTAAATTAAATCTATGACCATACAAATAATTTGGGTCCTTACAAAATATTCCTTTTTAATAATCCAACTAGAGACAGATGGCTAACAACTTAAAAACTAACGAAATGACGTTAAAAAATACATACAATACAATTGACACTGGCCTTTTCTTAAAGGATTTTATGCCAAAAACACAGCATTAAAATTCTTCACAATATCACTCAGGTAAAAATTAGTTGCATTTGTATCCATCTGCAGACCTCTGGTGGAAAACTGGAACAGCTTCATAATTTGCATATTTACAGTACATAATTTTAATGCTGTGTTTTTGGCATCGGATCCTCTAAGAAAAGGTTGGTGTCAATTGTATGTATTTTTTAATGTCATTTCATCAGTTTTTAGGTTGTTAGCCATCTGTCTCTAGTTGGATTATTAAAAAGGAATATTTTGTAAGGATCCAAATTATGTGTATGGTCTTAGATTTAGTTTAATCAACAAATTTATCCTTGGAACTTGTAACTAAGGTAGTGTATTTATTCTAAGCATAGCTGCATGATGAAATAGTTAGACAACAAGCTATTTTTTGAATAAATACGATATATTTTATATACCTNAAGAAAGGAAATTCAAGCAAACTCGTTATAATAAAATTCAATTTACATTTTATCATTTTTATTGAAACTTATTATTATTATTCATTTTCATCGGGAAAACATTTCAAAGTGTCTTTTCAATTCTATTTATTTATTGGAGTGCTTATGGATACACGATATTTTTTGTTTTTCCGTCTGATGCGTACACGAATAAATCAGAAGATTTTCCGACGCGTGAGCTGGCCACATACAGTTGTCCATGCGAGAAGCACGGATTCTCCAAATTTAGCCCACACACTTGCAGAGATTGTCAGAAGTGCGATATTCCCCATTTTTATATACATTTTTTAATCCTTTACAATTTTAATTATTTAATTGCTCCTTCCTCTCTTCCTTGGCGCGTTGTGAAATTTCTGATAGTTGGATAATAAACCGTTTTATTGTAATTTGTCTATTTAACTCTTTCCGCCCTGTGGAGACTAAGAGGGCCTCCACAGGGCGGAAAGAGCAATAAGCTCAGCAAGTGTTTGGTGTGTGATTATATTTGTAAGTAAACAGCTGAGGAAGTGGGAATAAGACGGCCTCTTCTGGCAAGTCCATCATGAATTTGGCCAGGCCCAAAATGGGGCAGCCGGGTGGTGAGGGACGAGCCGACATATCCGGACGGACCATTCCCCGAAAAATTTCTGGGATTTATCGAGTCGTCCGGATTCGAACCCGGGTCCCCAGGCTGCCACCTTAATCGCTGCCGTCAATCGAAATTGCTTATATGACATAACATAAGCCATTTCGATCAGGTGTTACGAAATATTATATGTCTCGTTCTAACGTCAATAAATAAATACAGAAATAATCTTTTATCGTATTTTCATTGTATGCTAATAAACAGGACAGCAAATATATACCTCCAAAAGTTAAATTTTAACCTCTGGCATCTTAATCAGAAATCAAAGTGCAATTCTTATCCAGATAGCTGAAATTTGTCCTGTTATATACTTAAAATCATACTTTCGTCTTAATAGATGATCTTCATATTATACAATGAACAGAATTACGTTAGTTTTCTTATTGATTTTCTTCTGTTCTGTAGTTTCCGAGCAACCACCAAATATAATTATTATTGTAGCAGATGATCTGGTAAGTATATTTATTAATACGAAATTGTTTTTATTGCTTAGATGTAGTGCTTACAATTCTGAATTTCATATGAGTTATAAAAAATCTTTATGCAATAATTTTTTAAAGCCGATGTTAAGAGAAAGGAATTGAAGAAGATTTAAAATATACTGAATTATGTGTTTTAGATTACTTTGAAATTATTGGATACTTTCTTTAGGGGTGGAATGATGTTCAATTCCATGGTTCGCAGCAAGTTCCCACACCAAATTTGGATGCACTTGGACGGGCCGGAGTCCACTTAAATAATTATTACGTTTCTCCGATATGTACGCCTTCCAGAGGAGCTTTAATGTCTGGGAGGCATCCAATTCATTTAGGTTAGTATTACCGACTGGATGCATTTATATAAAAATTAACCAATTAATATAAAATTAATACGCCTGCAGGTCTGCAGCACAATGTCATATACGCTGGTGAACCTTGGGGTCTGCCTCTAAATATTACTATTCTTCCTCAGCATTTAAAACGTTTGGGATACGCTACTCATGCCGTGGGAAAAGTAAGCTCTCTTCTAAATATAAACAAATAAATGTTGCTATTATTCTATATTTATTTTGATCATTTAACCTGTTACAGTGGCATTTGGGATTTTATAAAAAAGAAGCTACACCAACAATGAGAGGTTTTGACAGTCATTACGGATACTGGAGTGCCCACGAAGATTATTATGATCATACTGCACAGTCGGTAGGTTAACTTGGTCTTAGCATATTTTGAATGAAATAAATATAATTTGTACTTTATTTAGTCTGTAGGATGGGGTACAGATTTTCATAATGGTCTAAAAACTATTAGAAATACTGCAGGAAAATATTTAACAGATCTTCTTACGCAAAGAGCAGTAGAAATAATCTATAAGCATAATTCATCTCAGGTAGTATCTTTGTTTCATTCAGCAATAATAAAAAGATATGATTTTAATATGTATTTTTTTAGCCTCTCTTTTTGTATGTAGCGCATATAGCAGTTCACATAGCCAATTCTTATGATTTATTCCAAGCACCACCTAACTATGTGAACAGATTTCCTCATATTAAAGATGTCAGAAGGAGGATATTTGCAGGTAATTTTGATTTTTTCAATATTTGTTCCATTAATTAATAATAATAATTTAATAATATTTTAAATTAAAAAAGGTATGATATCTGCGTTAGATGATAGCATTGGCAAGATATTTACGGCTCTAAATGAGACGTCTATGTTAGAAAGTTCTGTAATAGTTTTTACAACTGATAATGGCGGAGCGGCAGGAGGAGTTGATCATAGTGTTGGTTCTAATTGGCCATTAAGAGGAAGTAAATATACTTTGTGGGAAGGTGGAGTGAAAGCCAATGCCATATTTTGGACTTCCATTTTAAATAAATCCCATTATAATTCTTATAATTATTTGATGCATATAAGTGACTGGTTGCCAACTTTATATTCTGCTGCTGGTAAGTTAAAAACAGAAAATAGATATTAAAATGATATATTTTTAGTTACGTTCTCTTACTAGGTGGTAAAGTAAGCGATTTAGGTTCTATATATGGGCATAATATGTGGAAAAGTTTATTACTTAATTTACCTTCACCTCGTGAAGAAATTCTCCACAACATAGATCCTTTTTGGAAGAATGCCGCTTTAAGAAGGGGAGATTATAAGGTTGTAATTGGAACAGTGTTTAATGGAAAGTATGATGGATGGTACCCTACAATTGGAAATGAGAAACGCGATTCTACTTTCCCAAATACATCTCCGGTGGAAAAAATTCTAAAATCAAAAGGATGGAAATTAGATAAAGAAAACATTTATATCATTACTTGCAAACAACCTCCTCCAATAAATAAAACACACGAATGTATCGATATACACTCTCCTTGTCTTTTCAATATTGCAGATGATCCTTGTGAATACAACAATTTAGCTAAATCTAATCCAAAGGTAATTTCATAAATATGCTATTCGAATCTGATTTATTTATTTAATTTTTTTTTATTAATTTAAAAATATACAGATTTTAAAGGATCTGATTGAACGTGTCGCGGCATGGAACAAGACAGCCGTACCACCCGGAAAAGTTCCACCGGACCCAGCGGCAAATCCAGTTTTCCATCAATACGCTTGGGAACCTTGGCAAGATTAGACTGTAAATTTGTAGCAAAATATTAAAAAAGTTCATTTGTCATAATTTTTTAAATTTACAGTATATACGAAGTAATTCAGAAGAAAATTATCTTGGGGCAAAATTAACTTACAACAGTTATGATATAATTATATATATATACATTACAGTATATATGTATATATATATATATATATATACATATATACTGTAATGTACAGTATATATATATATATATATATATACTGTACTGTATCCATTTTCTTCTTTCCCTACAGTCTGTCTACGGTAAGAATTGACTTGAGAGCAACGTAACGCGAGATGTTACTTCTATTAAACCAATCATCACATTCCCTAATGATGTGGCACTTTTCGCTTAATATGTCAGGTGATATGTGAATTTTATTTTATTTTCTTTCACTTGATGGCAGAACGACTTTTCCATTAATTGTATTAATTTTTTATAGCATGTATTAAATATAATCATGCATTTATACTACTATATCGACCTTCCTCGTAATTGAATACCAGAACGTGAAGTTTCCATTACATTATTTATAGCGGCGGTGACAAATGAGGAAGGAACCGGAAGTCACTTGCAACAACTAAGCAATCGATGATCGATGCTCATTGGTTAATACCCAGATTGTTTCTTTAAATAGATAGATTATAGCTTCTTATTATAACTTTTCTGAAAGCAGATGTCGCGTGCCCCAAGTGTACCAATGTACGGGCGTCCTGGATGGGAGAGAGATCCGGCGAAGCTGACGACCATGGAAGGATATGAATTACGTTCAGGCTGGTGAGAGTTCGCCGTGCTGTCGGGCATTGTCTTGCTGGAATACCGTGTCGGGTGTAGCTTTCACCAGTGGCCGAACCACAGGGTCCACAATTCGTGTGACGTACTGGTTCGCTGTCAAAGACCGGAAATGTGCACCAGGGCTGTCCGCTGATCAAACATGATGTTTCTCCAAACCATAATGCCCGATACAGAGCCGGTGTGACACTATGCGAAAAGGGCTGGCACATAGCTTTCCTATGATACCGCTTCCACCCGTCATTCCTTCATACACAGAAACGGGATTCATCCGGAAACAATAACCGATTCTATTCAGTGGTCCAGTTGCAATGACAACACAGAACTGCATGCCTAGCGTGCAGTTCTGTGTCGAGCAGTTAATGGCACCTTGGTTGTTGGTTGCTGGTCATGCAACTCGTGTTTTGAGCATTTAATCATAGGTCTAAAAGTATAGCAGTTAGCAGTCTCGAAACGTATGAAAAAGGCGAGCCTTATAATCGAGAATATAAAGCAGTATCTAACGAGTAAGCAAAAAACTTGCAAAAATTTAGTAGCCCTGTAAAGAAAAAACACGAAATATCAATGAGAAGGCGGTACGTACAGTAAAAAATGGTGATTGCAAATTAAATGTTTTCAATAATTAACGGTTATTTTGAGAGTAAGGCGTATTTCTAAAATTATCGTACAAAACCTCATTATCGTACATTGTACTGCCCTGAAATAATCGTACAAATACGATAATTGTCGTACAGATGGCAACTCTTTTTAGACGCTTGTAGTTTCTTTGGCTTCAGACGGCGGCGCTAGTTTCTATGTTAACTTTTATCCCATTCGGGTCTAGTAGTTATAAGTCATTGGGTATAACGTAATTTAGTTGAATAACAACGATTGAAAAGAAATCAATTATACTAATTTAAATATCATTTTAACTTCTACAGAAGGAATAGATTGATGGGATAAAGATAATGAAACTTTCTTTGGTGATCTGCCAAAGAGAGTTTGCTGTGGGAAACTAGACCAGTTCCCCACAGTCTCCTGGGTGTTAAGCCCTTAAAGAAAAGCTTAAAATCTTTACGAGGTCACTTTGTTGGTCAGGCCACTGATGGACGTATAATACAATACGGAGAACAGTCATTAATTATTCATGATACGGTTATAATTTAATAACAATTCTTGATATAAGGGAAAAACCTGTCGTCAAGACTTAATTAATTATAATCCTATTGCTGAGAAATGCTGTCACTTACTTTTAAACAATTATGGTTTTGATTCTATTTTTACGTTTAAGCTGTTTATTTGTTGTGATATTATGCTCTATATTGAAAAAAATATAATAATGGCGATTTCATTTTTATCAAATAAAAATGTAGAAACATATAATCGAATTTATACGATTTCAAAATTAAACGGAAGGAACTTATGACACGTTTGGTGATAACTTGTGGTGAGAAGTTAAATATGTTGTAACCAATGAACTCATTAAATTATCATAGGTTTCTTCAAATTATAATTTATCGTAAAGTATTAAATAATTAATTCATATATTCTATTTTTATAAATTCTTATCTAGAATTTTGCATAAATTAACGACATATTTGAAGTCTTTAAATAAAATATATGAGTCATTCAAATGAAGCGTAAATTAAAGCTGTGATTCACTATTGATATATTAAGCTTCACGGTAGATTGATGCTAAAAAAGTTTCAAGACTCGCCTTCGGTGTTCATATTTGTTCAATAGAGGCTTACGGATAAAATCTTCATAGAAAGAAGAAAAGCTGTACTTTTTGACTGCTTCGTGGACATTATTCATGCTTTAGGATCCGAAGATTTGAAAGTCAGAATGGCGACAGGTTGCAATACAATAAGGAAAGAGGCAAGAATATTCTAATTTTTCAGCAATTTTCGACAAGTGGCCAGATATTATCGTGAATGGTACTGTACCACGTGTCAGCACGAAATTAATGTTCATTGCTCGGAAACAGGATGACGATTCATTGCTCGCGCGTGTCCACACATCATACCAAACATCAAAGTGAGTCTTTTGGCATTTAATCTGTGTTATAACAAGTGATAATCTTCTTTTACCTTTTAACTTAACCATAAATGCATTCCTTTTATCCCATTGTGAACAGTTGCACCACAAAACAATGACAGAATGCCACTTATTTCTCAAGTCCACGTTGCATTTAAACAGACAAAATTATTGTTAAACTTTTAATGCAGTAGCTTAAAAATAACGTTTGAAAATTTTGTAATTGAACAGAATAAATTCAAACGTTAACGATGCCAGAAAGAATTTTTGAAATATTGCATATATAGATTAAAAGTTTAGTGACTATAATATATTATTTTATAATTGTCTTAATAAACAGAAAATTATATATAAAATTAATAACCCATATAAATCATGAGTAATCATCAATGTAACTGATCATTATAAGCCATTTTAAATAGATGAGTCAACATTTTTCATACATTACGGTAATATATTTGGAACGAATTGGTACTGAATTACAAGAGGCATACAATTATGAAATACTTGCAGAGTGTATTAAATGATTACCAAATACAAAATTTAATATTTAAACGGAATTTATTGTGTGTAATACTTTAAGCTACAGTTTATAAAAAGTTTTTTCAAATTTTCCACCCTTTTTTAATCAAAATAATATATTTATTGTAAGACGACCGATTAGCAGAAGTGTAAAGGTGTCAGCTTACCGTTCTGTTGATCCGGGTTCGAGTTCGGTTCATAACTTAGGTACTTTTTCATGGAAGGTCTGAACCGGATTTGTTGTACCTATTCCTCACTATCCGATAGGCCTTATCGTGAACCTAATGGATACGATTTTTAAAAAGGGCCCTCTTAGTACCCACAAGACAAAAAGAATAAAAATATATATTTTTTAGAAGCGATCTCTTTAGTTTTATGTAAGCTGTGTGTTAGTATTAAAGCGATTTATGTGAAGGATTGTTTCCTTAATTACCTCACATAAGTGCAGTATATTAATTAAAATTCGGATAAATGCATAAATCGTTACCAACTTACTGATTTTTATGAAAATAACATAAAATTAAATGAACGTTTTAAATAATTAACATAATTAGACAAAAATAAATAAGTACTGAACATATGTTGTATGCGAAATTATTATTTTAAAAGAGTTCAACTGGAGTTTACTGTAAAAAAATACTGTATATGTGATCTGTATTAAACAGTGCGATCTGATTTATTAAATTAATGTGTAATTTATAAGCTTTTTTTAAACCTGTAACGTATTATTTTAATTTTAAAGCGTATGTTACAATTTATGTAAATTGTTTGCATTGTAAGATCGCATTACTTTTTCCACCCTGTGGGCACTGAACCTTTTAACCGTAACCATCGCGGGTTCGGTCTGGCCGAAACCGCGGTGGGTGTGGGAATTTTCATAAACCCCAGAATTCCTGGGGTTTATGAAAATTCCCCTAAAAAATTCCTGGGGTCAGATTACAAACATTAAACTGCCGATTGAATTTTTAGAAAACGTCAAGGAAAGTTACTTTCCTCAGTAACAGCCCTTGACGTTTACTAAAAAGAGAAATTTTTTGCGAAAGTTAATGAAATAATGAAATTTATTTAATCTTTCTAATTAAAAACTTACTAATGTAAGATTTAAAAGTGTTTTAATATTAATATTTATCTGTATTTGTAGGATATCTGCACGACATGGAAGCGTTGAAATTGAATTTGTTTTTATGAGGAAATGAATTTTTTTTTTAGCTTGCATTATTAAAAACCTTGTTTAGAGTAAAGTAATATAAAATAACCGCGTATCGTTTACATAGTTCTGCCGTTTCCTTTAATAAGTTCATTCGCGTTTCGTTGCACTTCGCTCCTCACGCATGACAATAGATGTAGAGGAACAATTACAAAACCAAATTCATAGATTTTAATGAGAGTCAGCGGTCGAATTTTCAACGCATTTTTCAGTTTTAAATGGTGAACTTCACAAGAGAATAGTTAAATGGTAAGCGTACCTTAAACCATTGTTAACAATAGTTTAATTAAGTGATTCGAATGGAAAATATTAGAAATTAATTCATAAACTTATGGTATAGATAAACAATCATCTACAGTTTATCAACGATTTTGTAATAATAATTCTAATTGTGCTAATTACGAAGGGTGTTTATTCATCAATTCAACTTCTTGATGATATTTATATTTAAATATACTTTCTATAATAATATTTAGATATAAAATAACAAATCCATCGTGAAGTAATGGCGTAAAACATTGAAACGTGTCGAATAGGTATCCACGAGGAAATAACCTTGCAGAAATACACAATAACAAACAAGGGAATCCAAAGTGTGCGGTTAAACATCTAAATTTGAGATAATTTTTAAATATATCACTTATCTAACAATTTTTCCTTTATAATTACGAAACGAAAGTTAAATAATGCAACTAAAATGAAAGCAATTTATTAAAAATCAAAAAATTCGTGGTTATAGGCCTATTCTAAATTTATAAGTGTCTGTAGAAAATCTAAACAATAGTAAGCGTGCATTGTATGTTACAATAGCCTTTAGAATAACGAGTCAACCTGAAAATCAGCTAGTGACATCATCAAGGTAGAAGACAACACTTGGTGTTCCAGTCAGTTTCCAGTACTTTTACCAAGCTAGCACACCTGCAGGTGAGTAATGTCATTTTTAAAATTACATTTTATTTCTATAACGGTAGATTTTATATTTTAAAATGTCTATTAATAATTTTTGCATAACGCTAATAACACCGGATTTAAAATTAGGTCACGCAGATGATGGTGATGTTCATTTTTTTTTTTTTTTTATTTAAAGGGATGACCTAGCTTATTGTTTGCTTCTCTATTGTTTGCATTATACCTGTATGGATTTTGATATTTACTTAATTCCGTCTGCATTAGTGTTATTTAAATTACACTAAAATTTCAATAACGTTAAGAAGATACGATCGGTTTTTAATATTCAAGCTTCAGTGATAAAGGTATTTGTAAAAAAAAAAAGTACGGATATTTATTGTGTAGAGGCTAGTAAAGGAACGAGGGCAAAGATCTTAGGTTATTTACCGAAATTTTTGTTTGAATTTGATCAGCAAACATGGATATCGGAGAAATGAGTAGTTTCATTGTTAAACATTCTTCACATTTTCCTTTAAAAACTTCTTCGGTTCAGGTTATTAAGCACGAGTAAATCGTTATAATCAATTAACTGACGTGTATTTTGCACTCTATTTACCTTACCATTTTACTAACACGTGAGCATTTACAACGATTTTGTATCCTGTCGTTGTCGTAAACAAATTCTATCTTGCATATCGCATTTCGAAAGAAGACGTTGCGAGTTTTAAAAACGATTTTTGGAAAGTGAGTTATTTTACATTATTTATAACTTAATTAATATAGCTTATATGTTTTCAATTATTATGTTGAAAGTAGTATTAAATTAAAATATCATTTTAACAAAAAATTATAGAAAGTTTTTATTAAAATCATTAATTTTTTGTTCAAGGAAAATTGTTAGAACTATGAAATGTATTAGTATTTTTAAAATGATTTATTCGTAAAGTATTCTCCCTTTGTCTTTATTTAATACCAGAATATTTCCTCAACTCATAAAATTACACAAAGGAACAATTCTGTAAGTTATAAATGAAAGTTAAACCATTAATTTACCTAAAATTAAATAACTTCTCTCGAATTTAACGAAACTTTAATTAACTAAATAAACTTTTACTTGACTTACTTAAAATATTATTACCTCACTTTTATTGATGATATAGGAAGAAGTATACATTTTTAGGTCGTTGTCCCGAATTTGAATACAAATAAGAGAAATTTCACAACTAAAATGTTCTATTTTGTTACTATAATAGCAACAGGAAGAAATAAATGGACAGTTACATATGACTTTTATGTCCTATGATGCTCCTAAACATAAATCTAGGGATATCTGTGCTATCTGTTTTTGTAGCACGGTAGTATTTCCTTAAATAACTATTAAATTATACTTATAAGAAAATATATTATTATATTATATCTAAAGCATTTTATATTTTCAAACAAAGATGTCNAGCTGCATAAGCACCCATTTGTCTGGCCTGAGTCCACAGTCTCATCTAAATAATTTTTAAAAATCTGATTAAACTTTTTCAAAGTATTTTAATTTTAAAATATCTACATTGATATGAAACAAAGATATAAGAACTTGTTTACAAAATAATTGCATAATACGTATTTATATTTTAGAAAATACATGAGAAGTGGTAGTTCCACAGCTTCCATAGACTGCACGCCACTGGTGTGAATCATGCAATAAAATAAAGATTTTGCTAAAAATAGTAGTGAAAATGACTGGCATCCCATCAACTGAAGAGTACCAAAATGTAAATAGGTAGTGTATTTGATTAAATTAAATCTATGACCATACAAATAATTTGGGTCCTTACAAAATATTCCTTTTTAATAATCCAACTAGAGACAGATGGCTAACAACTTAAAAACTAACGAAATGACGTTAAAAAATACATACAATACAATTGACACTGGCCTTTTCTTAAAGGATTTTATGCCAAAAACACAGCATTAAAATTCTTCACAATATCACTCAGGTAAAAATTAGTTGCATTTGTATCCATCTGCAGACCTCTGGTGGAAAACTGGAACAGCTTCATAATTTGCATATTTACAGTACATAATTTTAATGCTGTGTTTTTGGCATCGGATCCTCTAAGAAAAGGTTGGTGTCAATTGTATGTATTTTTTAATGTCATTTCATCAGTTTTTAGGTTGTTAGCCATCTGTCTCTAGTTGGATTATTAAAAAGGAATATTTTGTAAGGATCCAAATTATGTGTATGGTCTTAGATTTAGTTTAATCAACAAATTTATCCTTGGAACTTGTAACTAAGGTAGTGTATTTATTCTAAGCATAGCTGCATGATGAAATAGTTAGACAACAAGCTATTTTTTGAATAAATACGATATATTTTATATACCTTGTATAAAATACTGTATTCTAGTAAACAGCGTGGTCTATAATTTTTTCATCTTGCAGAATGGCTGTTTATTCAGAGTAAATAGGGATATACATACTGATGATAAATAATATTTACCTGTTCTGTACAACTTACTCCAGCAATCCCTCCTCCAACAATCACAAATGTAAATTCCATAACTATATTTAAAATACGAAATACCTTTCGCGTTACCTTAAAATATATTCAATTTTCATAAAATCGATCTAAAATTTATATAGAATTTTAATACAATGTTCGGTTTTAAATTATATAATATACAAAATAATTACCACAAACTTAACGTGGAAATTTATTCGCTAAAATACTCGATTTCAGCAATTACATGAGTAAAGCATGACGAATATTTTAGTGTTGCCAGGAAAACAAAATTGTGATCTGTTTTATTTCTTAATATAACTTTAAATTTAATATTATTATTATTTACAATTTTTTAATTATCAGAAAGGATGTCTAACGTGATATTAAATTATATCTTGCGTCAGTTTGTAACAAATATACTTGATTTTTTGTTTGGCGCGAGCTTCTCAAGAGTGGATCGGAACCAAGGTCCTATAATCTAGGACCTTGAATCGGGACACCTTGCTTCAGTGCCCTCTGTTGGAGGTTTCAAAATTTCATGTTTATTAGTGTCAGGAACATTCGACCATAAACATCTAACGTCCGTTTGTCCGTCTTAACTCCTTTTAGGGAAAAATTTTTGAATTGAAATAACGTGTCAACCGGAAGTTCGTATATAGTTAATCGGGTGCCTCCTGCTCCTAAACTTTCCATATCTGGTCTCCGCATGTATCTAATTCCGTTTTCGAGATTACTGAAGATTTTACTTGCTGCTAGTTTTTTTTTTTTTTTTATGAAACTCATATCTACCCTCAAAATTAAGCTTTTTGCTATTTTATAGCAATTAAAAATACATAAAAAAGTTTTTATAACAAAATCTCATAACAGATGGCGCGACACAGAATTTTATTTATTTATTATGAATTTTAGCTTACCCGTCGCGCATTGCTGCGATCTCAGAGGAAAGGAAATNTTCGTTATATCGTTCATTAATTAAACAAAATAACATTATACTAGTCACTAGTCTGTTCAATGCAGTACGAATTTGGCGTTAGCCTTGGCCCTCGGCATCGAAATTTTGAAGTGAAGGGGGCGATACTACGTAACTGTTTCATTGAAGGGGGCGACGATTCGTTAGAGGTTGAGAAACACTGCTCTAATCCACCGCGTTCACGCGTGAAATTCGGGACGATTTGGGTATTCAAATACATCACGAAACCGTTCGAATGATTTTACATAACAACAACAACATTGTTCGGTCTCGAATGAGAAGTGAGCTCTTAAGCCTGAGCACAAAGCTGCCCGACACGATTTTACTAGAAAAGATATGGCCACTCAATGGAATAAGGTAAGTTTTTGTTTCGTTCAGACCCTATCGTGCTAGCAAAAGAAATAACAACCCTTTTTGTCGTATAGGTAATATTTTCGGACGAAAAAAATTTAATTTGAATGGACCATATGGTTTAGTGTTCTACTGGCGTGATTTACGAAAAAATCCCAAGTACTTTTAGCGAAGGAACTTCAGTGATGGGAGTATTATGGTTTAGAGTGCTTTTTCTGCATTGGGAAAATTGGATTTAGTATTCGTTACCTTCGCATGAACAGTGCCGACTATTAACAAATTCTGGAGAACAAACTGCTGCCATACAAATGTAGATTCAGAAGAATTTCTGCTATTTTCCAACAGGACAACGCATCTATCCATGTATCAGGAGATACGAAACAGTACAGAGTCGACCCCCCTATAAGATCATTGATTTTTCCGTTTTATCTGAATTACATGTTGTACGAGTCACTTAGATTTTACAAATATGTGAGCCATTCACAGTCCGGCACACGTATTTGTAAAATCTAAGTGACTCGTACAACATGTAATTCAGATAAAACGGAAAAATCAATGATCTTATAGGGGGGTCGACTGTAGTTGAATACTTAAAACAAGCAATTGTCACTACTTGGAATCCCCTCGAGGCATCGATTATAAAGATTGTTGATAGCATGCCAAATCGCATTTTCGATGTTATTAGTAAAGGAGATGCGCAAATAAATTACTAAATTAAACTATTTCGTAGTATTTAATGCTTTTTGCATTCATTTGTTAGTCGATTCTATACTTTTCTGGTGCTTAAAATCAGTTCTTTTTTACAATTTGTTGTTTGCTGCGATATAGGAAACTACGAGTTTCGACAAATTATGTTTTCATAAATTCTGAACAATATATATAGCTACATAATATGTGTAATTCCTAACCTTCGTATAGTAAATTTACAGCGATTCTATACTTTTGTGGAGCACCATATAGAGTAGCACAGAACGGGTACAAAATATTTTAATTCTCCCCAAATGGGAGGGATTAAACCCCAAACCCTCGTGTGGTTTGCCTCATAAAGACTCATTATTTTATAATTAAATAATATATTCGAAATTACACCAATGGACAAAACTTTGGATTCTATTCAATATATCTGTTCCCTCTTTTTTTTTTTTAATATGAATGAATATGATAGGAACAATTATATATATTGAACTAGGCATTAGTTTGAACAAAATATATCAAAATTTA